CGACTTGGAGAAAAAACGGAGACGGAGAAGCTCGGCCGGAGTCAGGAATGGGGAAGCGGCTGTCGCAATGGGGCCGGGAGGGGGAGCGGGAGGGGGGCGTTCACATTAGCCGCGGAGAAGCCCAAAGGACACGCACCCCCTGCCCCCCGCAGCCCCAGCATCCTGTTTCCAACAGCGGCTAAGTTAGGAACCTCGACCCGGGGGGCCTTCAGGTCACGTCCCCACCAAGGTAGACTGCTCTTGGACATGGAGGCTCCGCTCCAATTCCCCCCGGGGATAGCCCGGTGGGAAGGGAGGACAAAGTAGTGGGAATCAGGTGCAACTTCAGAGCAGCGAATGCCCGCTGGAGGAGAAAGGGCAAGGGAAGGCCATGAAGATATTTTTTTATTTCATTTCGGGGAAAGGAGGTTTGGTGAGGCCGTGGCGCGAGCTGCTGCTGCCTCTAAGATGCACGCAAGAAGAACGGCGCAACCCAAATCAATCCCCACCACTGAGGGCAGCCGTCGCTGAGAAAAATCAAGCAGGATGTCCGGAGATCAAAATGTCAACCAGCCTACAGGCTCAAGAGAAAGCAGAGCTCACTTCAAAAGGCACGTTGTCTTCAGAAGGGGTACTTTTTAGGGATCTGGGTTGACCGTTTTCAGCTGTCGTAAAAAAAAAAAGAAAGAAAGACTTGCTCCCCGCAAGGAGACAACTAGCCTCGTAGAAGAGTTCTCACTCTTCTCCCTGACGCTGTAGCTTTCTACATGCAGGGAGGGTTGCTTTAACCCAGGGAGCTGGAGCGGTTCAACAGTTTGTAGCTAAGATAACCCGCTTTCCCAAAGGTTTAAAAAAAAAAACTGACTTTCAAAATTCTGCAGGTGGAGGAATTGTGGCCGTCGATCATCCCTATGCAGGAAGATGAGGGAGGCAAGACGCGTGGATATGGGTTGCGGTTCGGAGTGCTCCGAAATTCTTGAAAATCCAGGTGGCACGGTCCCATCTTTCTTTTTCCAACTCAGCAACTGAGTCAGACTAGAGAGTCGGCTCCCGATGCAGCTTTTTTTCTGGTTTGATTTTCCTAGCAAGCAGAAAAGCAGCTCGAATCCCACCTCCCCGGCCCACCCCAGGCCAAGAGTTGTGTTTTCCTCAACGAAATATCCTCATTCTTGCAAAAACAGCGCGGTCGCTCCCCCCTCGTTGCAAGGGCCTGAAATGAAAGATGAGGGAAGATAAGGGAAAGCCGGCAGAATAAATCCAGGATGACGATCAACTTTATGATAGGTGGACTTCAATTCCCAGAATTCCCCAGCCAGCATGGCTGGCTGGGGAATTCTGGGAGTTGAAGTCTGCACATCTTTCAAGTTGCCAAGGTTGAGAAACACCAATCTAAGCTAACCTCTCCCCAGCTGCCGAACCTCTATAGACGCTGGACTACAACACCCATCTCCCCCAACCCCATGGGGGATTATGGGAGTTGTAGTCCAGCAGAGCTGGAAGCGACTGCTACGCCCCGGACGCTTGTCCAGGCTGCGCACATGTGCATGCGTGTGTCCTGAATTAAACTGAATTAATCTGCCTCTCTTCTCAAAAGACTCTTTCCTGAAGAATGGCAAACACCGAAAAGCTCTGCAGGAGCAGAGGAATAACCCATTTAGCCAAAGGATGAGGTTCTTAGCCCCCCCCAGCATCTAAGGCCGGAGGTATACTGCCCCTGAACGTGGAAGTTCAGTTATCATGGTTAAAGACGCAAGGTCGTTTAAAAAGAAAAAACTCTCAGCGTGACATCTGGCTTCCCCCCCCACCCCCACCCCCGTAGTCAACCAGAAGTCTTCCAGGATGTGTGCAAACCAGGCCCTTGGTGTCCGGGGATAGACTGCCCCTGACTCCAGAGGTTCTATTTAACTCCCGTGAAGAAATCAAGCCGATTTGTACGGCGGGGATTAACCGGCCCATCGTTTTCACCAACCTCGGTCCATGGTGCCCCCCCATGTCCATTCGGTCCCCATGCTCTGCCTGGGGAGGTTATGCCAAACTGGCTCAGGGATCCCCCACCTTGCTCTGTCTCTTGGGGGTCCCAAGGCGGAAAACCTCCCTGTGCCACCCAAACGCCCCTCGGCCAGAACCTCTCACTTGCCCCCGGACCAAAAAGACATCTCTACTCACTGGGCCGCGCGGCCAGGAACAACGCCGGCCCGGGTGCCGACGTGGGGTCTCGCCAGCGTCGCGGTGCAACCCCAAAGCTCTGCCTTTGCACGACACGTTAATCCAGCAGCTTCTTTATGCACCAGCAGCAGAGGAAAAGGTAAAAATACTCTCGGAGAAATTTCAGCTTTTGTAGCACGGAAAGGAGACCCTCTGGCCGGCCGGCGGGAGGCCGCAGGTACCCGTTGGGGCAGCCAGGACCCCCAGATGGGGTCCTGTAAACCTTTTTGGAGAGAACATGGTATTCTGGGACAATCAGGTACCAGTTCTCCCTTTGAAGCCGCATGTGCTGCAGCAGATCTCTCACCAGCCCTGGAAATATCTGCATTTTCCGAAAGTCACGAGAGAAATGCCTGCTGGACTGAAACAACGAAGCTGCGGGGCCCCCGACGCTGACAAAGGACAGGCTTTCGCTCCCTGCAATCATAATAAAACTCGTTTCCAGTTGATTCTCCAGTGAGAGGCTCACCGTTTTCGCTCCCCAAAGGTTGGGAACATTTTGTGCTTTGGAGTACGCCAAACCTTGCTTTCCATCTGCGGTCGTTGCATTTCTCCCCCTCCAGCAATATAGCCAAGATGAGGCTAAACATGAGGATTAAAATAGCAAAAAGGGAGATGTCGGCGGCCCGTGAATAGCAGGACTGTTTGAATGCAACGGATCTCAGCGTGCCGAAACAGCTCAGCGGAGGGAGGGCAGCTATGCTGGCGGGGGACGATGGCAGTTGTAATCCACACCTTGAAATTAACCCATGGACTGAAAGGGCAGAACAAGAGAAACATGAAAGAGAGAAAAAAAACTCGCCGTTTAATTTCACTTCCTTAGCAGGGAAATCTGTTTCACTTCGTTTATAGACTCGGAACCAAGCGAGCTGGAGATCTGAGCACGGCATTTCTGCCACAGGCTAAACTTGGTTCATATTAACCTAGGTTAGGTGTTTTGTGGTTGACACGGCTGGCTGGGGGACTCGGGGAGTTGAAATCCGCACCGCTTAAAGTCGCCAAGGTTGAGAAACAGGCTTCCCAGCTCCTCATAGACAAGTCTGACCACCCCTCTGACTGAATTCACAGCAGCACAAACTCAAAATGAGGACAGGGGAACGCGGTGAATTGAAAATAACAGGGTTTTATTCCCTTTTTCTTTACAACCCAGAGAAGGGACAACGCGGCCCACCTCCCACTGTCTTGGGCGAGATGTGTAATAATTTGGGGCGTGAGATCCGTCCAGCAGAGGCCAACGGGGCTAGAGAGGTCCAAGGGTGGTCTGGCCAATGCATTCATTTCCACTCTAATAAGCCTGGCCTGAACTAAGTTACTTTGTCCAGGCCTTCTTAAACCACCAATGCTGGCCCCGGACGTCGAGGTTCAGTGGCGGGAGATGCGTTCTTCTTGTTCGTTTTCCAACTCGTAAGCCGGCCGGTAGGAATCCCGTCCTTGGGCGTCCGTGTAACGCAGCGCTTGGTTTTTCTGCGTGTTGGTCGTGCTGCCCAGCGAGGTATAACTGTCCGAACGGGAGCCCGACACAGAAAGAAAAGAATCAGGACATCCTCAATCCACAGCTAATCCGCTTCGTTATGTACCCCTTCTAATCAAAGAGACGGTTTTCAGGAGCGAGACCCTGTTTTCCAAACGTGGGTTCGGCCAGCCTGGGTGCCTGTACGATTTTGCATAAAGCATCCATGCACTGTGCCAAATCATTGTGCTTAAATTGCAGGTGGGAAAGCTGGATCGGGTTTAGTTTCTCTCCCAAAGAGCTCAGAGGAGCCTGTCTCTTAAAATCAACACACACAAACTTGTGAACATCCCCAAAAAGCGTAGATCCGGTTGAAAAACAAACCTCACCCCTCCAAAAAATCTAGAATATCACAATCTACTGTGTGGTCCCGCCCGCTCTGGCTCTCTCCTCTGCTCTGCCCCCCCATGTTCAAGATAGTCCAATTTTAAACTCATATGTTTTTACATGCTTTTTGTTTGCTGGTGCAAATACACCTGCAAACGCTTGTTTTTTCAGATTAGATCAGGGTTCAAGATGTCCCTGGGCTTACCCCTTGTCGTACAGGATGCAGTAGGGAATGTAAAGGCCGCGAAGAAAGCTCCATATATCGTGGTAACTCCAGTCCTAAGCGTCAATCAGGAAAGGGGAAAAGATAAGTCAGGGGAACGGGCGGATACTGGACAAAGTCAAAGTCACACCTTGCAAGGAGCAACCAAGCGTGCTTCGAGCAAGAAAAGCTGGATGATATGCCCAATTTTAAATTTAAGAGAATAATAGGCTTGGATTTTTAGAAGAAACTCGTACCTTAAAAGTAAATCAGACACAGAATTCAACCCAGACTGGAGACCGTTCTTTAGACCAGCGTTTCTCAACCGTGGTGACTTTTAAGATGGGTAGACTACAACTCCCAG